AAGGGCAGCATTAGGGACTGCAAAGAGCTGTTGCTTATGTGGGTTGTATTTATCAATATTTACCATATAAAAAGTGAGACATTTAAAAATGTTTAATTCATTTTAAATAATAATAAACCCATTATATTTTAACATTTTTTTCCTAAAAAATAACCACATATATTTTGTAAGTGGGAAGAGCAGCACTGTTTTATATTTTACAGTACTCTTTCATACCACGCTTTAAAAAATACAGCTGGGTTCTTTGTTTCTGTGTTCAATCTGTTGCCACAAATTGTTTTAATTCAAGTATATTTAGAGATTTTTGGCCTTTCAAAAGCAAGATCCTTGTAGATCCTGAAAAGGTTTCAGGAACCTCTGGGGGGTCCTTGATCCACACTTTGAGAATCTCTGCCCTATGCTATCTTTTTAAAAATCCTATGAGGTAATAGAGCAGATATGATATTAGTTCCATTTTATGGTTGAAGAACCAAAGGCTCAGAGAAGGTGGAAGAGGTTTGCAAAGTCAGACAACTAGCCAAAACGGTGCTGGTAGTATTTCGAGTCTGACTTTTAACTCATCCCCTTTCTTCAAAATCTCCATCTGTAACTTTTAACATACATACCGATGGCAGATTTTGCAAATATATTGAAGCAAATAAAGGGAATTTTTTTCCAAGTTTATAAAGTGAAACAAATTCAGATATGCTTAAAAGGAAAAAAAAAAAAAACCCACAACTTAGATACATAACAGGTTCACTCAAACTTCTTTGTATAATAACAGACCTTTGACGTTTTAAGGCAACACAATCAGATTTTATCTGTCAATAGAGCCAATCCATCACAAAGTTATTAAAAACATTTTCTAATACAACCTACTTGGCAAATTTATTAGCTAGGTTTTTCATGTAGCCTTTGCTCATCATTTCTTTGACCATAAGTATTATTTTCTCTGGTATGTGGAACAGCTAAAGCTTCCTATGGATACAGAAAGATCTCAGAAGTTTTATTTAAGAATTTTGGGTGGAGGGGCATGTGGGTACCTGCACTGGTTAAACATCTGCCTTAGGCTCAGGTCATGATCCTGGGGTCTTGGGATGGAACTCCACTGTCAGGGCTCCCTGCTCACCGGGGAGCCTGATTCTCCCTCTCCCCACTGCTCATGCTCTCACTCTCTCAAATAAATAAATAAAATCTTAAAAGAAAAGAATTTTGGGTGGAAATTTTAAGATGTGAGAGGAGATGCAAAAAATAATTTATCATTTTATTATAGATACGAAAGCCAAAATGAAAGAGTGCTTCATCTTAAAATGTCGTATCTATTATCAAAGTGGTATTTATACTATAATAATAGAATTCATATTAATATTTAAGAGAGACTATAAAACCTCGTTTACTAACTAAATTGCAGTAACTCTGGATTAGCTCAAACTAAGTAAACTACAACAGCTTTATACCAGTATCCATTTTTGTTTAATTCAAAGTTAACTTGAAATTTAACATCTTTGGATTTTTACTTATTAAAAAAAATCTTTTGTATTAGTTAGACTGGACTCTCAGACCTATGGTAGCCAGACCATGCCCTGGAATACATAGCTTTTCATTCTCTCAGGCTGTAGAATCTTTAATAAAAATGGGACAAGAGGACTAAGACAACTGTTCCCGTAGAAAATAAATAGTCTTAGATATCTTCTCTGTGGTTCCTACCACTGTGACTTTATTATTAAATTATTATTAAGAGAAGGAGACAGAAAAGTTGGCAGAGGAATATGTGCACCTTTTTTGAGATACTTACTCATGGCTATAAATACAAAGGTAAAAGCAGAAATATTCAAAGTGCCACATGATAACAGACTTTATACAATGATTTTAACTTTTTAATCATACTTTCACAGGATTATGGAGGTATAACATTTTATAACCTAGAGAAAGAATGTTTGCAGAGATAATTTTATCATGGAATAGTAGCTCTTATCACTGACTGTATTGTAAAACTTTCAATGCAGACTGATGCCTGTGTCCTACCCTAGACCAAGCTAAACAGAATTGCTGAGAGTGAGTCTCACATCCTTTTTTATTTTTATTTTTTAATTTTTTTCAAAGATTTTATTTGTTTATTTGACAGACAGAGATCACAAGTAGACAGAGAGGCAGGCAGAGAGAGAGAGAGAGGGAGAAGCAGGCTCCCCACTAAGCAGAGAGCCGAACGCGGGGCTCAATCCCTGGACCCCGAGATCACGACCCGAGCTGAAGGCAGAGGCTTAACCCACTGAGCCACCCAGGTGCCCCTCACATCCTTTTTTAAAAAGGATGGTGGTTCTAATATGACGCCTCAGTTAGAAACCACTGTGTTAGAAGGAAACCAAGGAAAATAAAGAGAATATTTTACACTGTAGAATTACAGAGAAAAAGAAGCAATTTTACAAGCTATGCTCAAAATGTGGGAATTGTACCAATTACATTAAATGAACAAAAATCAACAATTGTAATTCTAATTGTAAATTTAAACAAAAAATTAGCCAGATTCTGAGAAACAAAAGTGCTCTCAAACTAGTTAATTGGACACTGGGGGCAGAAGAGAAACATACCATTTTCAGACTTCTTCTAAAAAAGTATTAAGGAAAAAAAGGTATTTACTCTCATACACCAATATGCCTATTTTCATAACATCTGAAGATGATATGGAAATCTCAAATCTGAGAATATTGAGAAAAAATGTGCAATTCTAAGCATCTGCTTACGAAAATCACTGAAAATATTAGAGAAGAGGGTAAGAAGCAGACGTGGTAGATGACACAGGAAGAGCAGTTATGCTCTAGAAACCTTTAACGGAACAGGGAAACGATAGTTTGGGGCCTGCCCGTTGCCAGACACAGCCAGCCTACTACATCTCTAACCATCTAACCAACATGTGGGATGCCTGATAAAGCCACAGCACCAGGCAAACAAGGGTGCTAACACCGGTTAGTGCAAATTGCTAGTGAACCTTAAAAAAATCAGAACCCTGTGAAGGAAAATAAATGATTCTTCTTAGTTCACTAAAAAAAAAAAAAAAAGTAATGACTGCATTTCTGAAAGAAAAAAATAAGGTACTCAAAGGACAGTGGGAAGCTGGGTAACGACAATGAGAGTACAGACCTAGAATACAGTACAAACAAGACTAATTTTAACTTCTGAATATAGGTGAACCAATACTTCCTTTGCCACAGAATGCTCCACAAACACGTTACCCAGATGGCTTAATGAAGCCCTTTGCTTAAAGTGCTTCGAGTTTTTCACAAGGAACAAAAAGTCATCGTATGATTGATATGTACAGGGAAGGAATAATTTAGAGAATTTTCAGAAACAACTTACAATAATATAAACACTTTTTCTTCGGTTAAGATTAAAAAAAGAAAGAAAGAAAAAAATTCCTGTGAACAAAGGGAAAGCAGATGTGTGAATAAATTCAATTACTAATCCTGAAACTGATGTTTGTTTCAAATACTTTCCTCTTCCTCTACTCTCCCTAAGCACCTTCAAGTAGTAATACCTTTCCTATCCTAGAAGGAGTAATACTGTTCTAGTTCAAATAGTTACGATTATAATGAGTAAATACTACATGCAAGGCCTTGTGCTAAGTGCTCTATGTACATTCTTTTAGTCCTCACCTTAGCTATGTGTTATTTTTATATCTACTTTACAGATGACATGGGCTTAGAACACACAACTAGGAGACCGTATAAAGTGGCGATCAAAAGGTCTAACTCCATAACCTGTGCTGTAACTATAAATTATAGTATTTTTCTTAGCATTCTTCGCTCAAAAGATGGAAGTTCCCATGCAATTTGGAATAAATAAGCAGAAAGGGGGCACAGGAAGTGGTGTAGAAGTACTTTATAATTGATCAAGATAAGAGCACCTGCACTGTTTTTTTTAAGACAAGGAAAAAAACCTGCAATAATATAAATCCCCCCCCAACTCTGTTTTGGGCTTTTATTACAAAAAAGGACAAGTTTTTCTTTAACAAGATGGTCAAGCACCACCTACGGGCCATAGTAAATAAATCACTTTGGTTCAGTGGTGGGGAGGGCATTATGCAACACTTCCCAGCACTGCCCTTGCCAGGATATTTTACAGCCAAGACTCTTGGGCCCCTCCTCCCCAGCTAGACAGCCTGGCTCCTGCGCATTCCCCTCAGGAGATAGGGTGGAAGCACACAGCTCCATTTTCTAAGGCAAAGAGGGCAGCTGAAAGTCCTGCTCAGCCTCTCTGGGCAACCACAGGCGCCAATAAATCAGCCACAGGCGATTCTCTCATCCCTTTCCCGGCTTGAAGTGGTAGCAAGATAAAATGCAAAAGAGCACTGACTGGACTCGGGAGATAAGTGATCTAGCCTTGAATTCTACTGCAAATGACAGCATCGCAGAAGCCAGGTAAATCTCTGTTTCCTTGTTTGTAACATAGAGACAATACCACCTCCCTTTTTGTCAAGTACTCAGAATTCATCTATGAAAGTGGCTAGCCACTGCAGGTGCTCAATAAACAGCCAACAACTGGAGCAGAATCCATCTCCACTACCTCCAAATAAGACATTCAGGGAAGGGCTGGGCAAAAAGGTAGAGCAAGTCATTTGAGGCCCCTCCCTGCTTTGTTACTGATCCCTCCCAGGTTCCCCTCTTTCCTGATAACCTCCCAGCCATCAGAACTAATCTATTCCAAGTGCTATCCCCATATACTGCTCCCTCTTAAGGAACTGATTCCTGATACTGGATAGTTTACGCTTAATCGAAACATACCTAGATTGCTCAAGGAACTTTGATGCCTTAACCTAAGGAAGTAACCAGTGCTGCAAATATTGGTTATTCTTACAGAGAATAGGGCTGAATTTTGGAGAAGATGGGCTTTGAGCCCCCAAATACATCATAGGCAATCTATTCCACCTAAAGATAATGCCAACCCCATTACTTAAAATACCAGAGCCAACACACAACGGCCAAGCCTTGTTTCTCAATAATCTGAATCAAGCCAAGTATAATCACCTCTGGCAGACTGTCTCTACAGTGAGTGGGTTAAACTGGCACTGCGCTCCTGGTGTGGTAACCAAGGCCTCGAGCCCTGGAGTCCAGTTACTCAAAAGGTGTATAGGGCTTCAGTCAAGCTACACGTTCGTTAGGCCCGGTGTCTTCATCTGTAAAACAGAGGGATGAACTGGATTTCCTGTAAGGCCCCTTTCAGCTTTAAAATCTATCATCCCAAAGTGTACTTTACACACTTGACAAAATCCTGCGCGAATCAACAGTTTCGTCAAAAAAAACTTGAGTCTCAAGAGATTAAATGCGAAATGTAATTTCCGGGGGGGAAATGGGCGTTACTGAATGAAACACGGTAGCTGCTGTCAAATTCCAAGTACAGCGCTAAGTGCTGTCTAAGTAGCTTGGTTTCTCCAAATAACGAGTGCTAGGGAAGCAGTGAACGATCCGGCAAACTTTAAAAACAAAAACTGGATTTACTCAGAATGAGATTAACATAATCTGAAAAAAAAAAAAAAGGAAAGAAATGAATTATGGAGGAGGAGGAACTTCCTGCCCTAGAAACGGGGTAATCACAAACGGGGGTGGGGAAGGGAGAGGACAGTGGCCGCAGAGTCTCTCAGCTTGCACCAGGAGACCCGCCCACTTGCAAGAAGGGTTCGCGCGGCGGCCCGGGAAACGCCGCGGGCCCGTCGGGGGTTCCCGCGCGGGGTCAGGCCCCCTTAGCCGCCTTCTGCGGGCAGCGAGAGGCGGCTCTGGGCATTCTCCGCCCAGTGCTCCCTCGCGGTTGCCATTTTCCTCCTGCGCCCTGATTGACATGTCAAACGGACCAAAACACCCCTCTCCCCAGCTACTTGCATCTGTCCCGCGACCGGCGCAGCTGCAGGCCGCCGCCCTGGGCGGCTCGCGGCGGGAGGGACTGAGCCCGGAGCAGCCCACAGGGGCCGGGCCGCGTCGCTTACCCAGACGCCGCCGCGGCGGCCAGCCAGCTCCTCCGTCCGGGAGGGGCGGCTCCCGCGCCGCGCACGTCACGCGGCGGCGCCGGCTCACGCACCCTGCGGCCCGCTCTCGCGCGGCTTCCCGCGCCGGCCGCCCCGCGATGGGCCCACGTGACCGCGCGCCTGGTAGCGGGGGAACGAGGGGCGCGGGGGTTGAAGTGTGCGTGCGTGCGTACGTGCGCGCCCTCCCGCCTACTCTAGTGGCCAGGCGGGGGTCGGCCCGCGCTCGGGGTACCTCCGCTACGGTCCTCAGTCGTGACTCTGTAGGCGGAAGCGTGGAGACTAGCTTGAGCGTCACAGGCTCCCCACACACAACCGCGTGACCCGGGGACTTTCCCCAGGGCGTGCAAAAGCACAGCAGTGCCTCACTTCGAGGGTGGGGGTGGGGAAGGATGCGCCCGCGTGTTCGCGGGGAGAGGGGTGGGGGCGCGGGGCCAAGGAGGCTGAGCCGCTGGAGCCTGGGAGGGGAGGCGAGCTGGGTGGGGTGGGGCATGGCGGGGGAAGTGACTCAAGGCCAGAGGCGGACAGGCCTATGGCAGGCAGAGTGGGGGGAGCGCGGGGAATGGGCGACCCCGGACCGCCTGGCGGCGCACGGGACGGGGCAAGGGTGCTGGCGCCCCCACAACGTCAGGGACGAACTGAGAGGGAAGGCTCGGCTGCCGAGCCCTCCGGGGCAGGGGTCTGACATCTGGACGGAGTGGGAAAACAGCATCCTGCCCTTGGGGAGTCGGGAGGAGCCCAGTCCCATCCAGCTGTGCAAACAGGAGGAGGAGGAGGTCCCAAGCCTACCCTTGGGAGAGGGGCGAGAGGGGTGGTAAAGCCGCCGCCGCGCCGGCCCCCGCGATGCGGGTTGCGCCAGCCTCCCCGGAGCCCGACGCAGAAACTTGTTGCAAACAAACAGGCGACCGCGGGTGCCCCTAGCAGCCAGCGGCGGAGTGGGTGGGCGGGCGAGAGGGAGGGGAAGGCTGGCGGACGCCGCAGCGAACTGGTGGGCAGACCCGGAGTCGCCGCGTAAGCGGGGCCGGCTCAGTGCGGTGCGGCAGGCGCGGCTGTGCGGCAGCGGAAGTCCTTTGTTGCAGCACAGTCCCTGGCAGAGCCAGAGCCTCTCCGCGCAGCCCAACCCGAACGCCGCGCGCCGCCGCCACTGCAGCTCGCTGCCCCTTCGCCTCCGCGCGCCTTTCCCGCGGCTGATTTGCCTTAAACTCCCTAAAACCTCCGCAGCCCCGGTTCCTGCTGCGGTCGGTGAGTATCTGCCAGTTGTGGGGCTATTTGCGCAACTTTGGCCTGGGCGGGAGGACGCGGGCCGCGGGCCTGGCGGAGTGCGGGGCCGGAGCGGTGCCGACCCGTGCGGGGATCCAGGGCGCGGAGGACGCGCCGCGAGGACCCGGCGACGGGCGGCTGCCGGGCCGCCTGCTCGATCCCGGCGTTCGCCGGCGCACCTCGTCCGGGACGTGCGGCCTCCCTGGGTCGGAGGTGAAGCCCCGGCGGAGACTAGTTCTCAAATTAGTTACCTTCTTTTCCCTTTCTTTCTCTGTCTTTATTTTTTGGGGTGGGGGGGGAGGGGAGGGGAGGTGTAGACGGGAGGCGGGAGGACCCGGTTGATTGACGTGCCCAGAGCCCGCTTCTCTCAACTTACAGCTGCGGCTCCTCGGCGGGTGGGAGGGGAAGTGTCCCGGAGCCCGAGGCCGCAGACTTGGGCGCGCTCCGAGGGAGGAGGCGTAAGAGCCGTGCAAATTCTTGCCACGCTCTTTTCACCCCCTCTTGCCGGCACACACGCTTTTTGTTCAGTAAAAAGTAGTGGGTCTCAGGTTTGGGAATTTTCGGTGGAAAAGATGTGTTTGCTGGGAAAAAAGTGCTTTCGATTCCAGTGGTGGGCGCTTGCTAGAAGTTCTGTTAATGTTCGGCAAATGCGTTGGGTGTAGATCGGAAATCATAACCGCTAAAACTTGGAGGCTTGGGTCTGAGCTCAGCCACCGTCCCAGTCTTAGGTAAATTAATCAACGAACGCGTCTGTAGGATCTGAAAGGTTAACACGACCTTCTCCAAATTGGGAGCGTCGGGGAGATGTCGATGAAAGTCGATGTTTTCTGGGGGACAGCAGGGCATTTTGTATGTGTGTTAATAATAACTCCAGTCGAGCTTAAACGTGGTAGGTAACGCGCAGATTCTCTGTTGGCCTGAGTGTAGTTCCATACCGTATGTCTCACTGTCTCACGACAGGAACGATTTTCTCGAACCCGAGGAGTGGTTCCAGGCTTTTTGAGGAGACTTAGAATCAGTTTCATGGTTCGAAGTTCAAGGCACTTTGGAGCAGAAATGGAGAAGGATGCAGTTCTCATGTTAACTTCAAAGCAATCACTACCTTCTTTGAAACGAAGAAATTTGAGTCTATGAAATTTTGTCAGTGCAAATGGACATGATGGAGAGAATTGGGATACTAAAAGATGAAGCCTGAATGATGGCTGGCCATCACAACCTCAAAACTTTATTTTTGATTCACTTGCTGGCTATCTGATGAAGTATCAATAATAACTGAATGGGTTTGGGCGCTGGATGGGGGCTTCCTCATCTTAGAGAAAATTGAAACCTGGTGGATGGGAAACTATTTTCAAAGATCAATAAAGACCGTCTGCAGTAGAACTTTTCTTTAACATCTTAACATTCGTTTTAAGAGATTTCTTCATCATGACCAAATTTTCACTGTGTAGAATAACTCAGGTTGAGTCGCCTTTCCAGAAGCCTTTCTATTCTTCCCATTCCAGTGGGATGGCCTACTTTGGGGGTGGTTTGTGGGGGAGTCCTGGTGCCTCATTGTCAGAGAAAAAAGAGACCATATTTAACCAGGACCTTAGCGGGGCATGAGTGCAGTCTCAGCCACTTGCTCTTGACCTTGTGTTTTGATTTCATGTTAACAGTGCTAAATTTTTTTTTAAAGATTTTATTTATTTGACAGATCACAAGTAGGCAGAGAGACAGGCAGAGAGAGAGGAGGAAGCAGGCTCCCCACTGAGCAGAGAGCCTGATGCGGGGCTCGATCCCAGATCCCTGGGATCATGACCTGAGCGGAGGGCAGAGGCTTTAACCCACTGGGCCACCCAGGCACCCGAACAGTGCTAAATTTTTGTACTGTTTCCTTTCCTTATTCTCTTTCGCCAGGCTCTGGAGAAGATAAGTTCATGGAGCTTTTATTAAGAGTGTCTCTGTGTTCTTGGGGCGCCTGGGTGGCTCAGTGGGTTAAGCCTCTGCCTTTAGCTCAGGTCATGATCCCAGGGTTCTGGGATCGAGCCCCGTATCGGGCTCTCTGCTCGGTGGTGAGCCTGCTTCCTCCTCTCTCTCTGCCTGTCTCTCTGCCTGCTTGTGATCTCTGTCTGTCAAATAAATAAATAAAATCTTTAAAAAAAAAAAAAAAAGTGTCTCTGTGTTCTTTTTAGCACCAATTCCTATCCTAATGTGCAGGAAAAAAGAAGTATCTGCTTTCAGGCCTCTTCTTCCAGTCAGGAAAGTGCTAATAAGCCTTAGCTATTAACCTTCTGGCCCAAAGGGGAGACAACCATTTGGGATACAAAGGCAGAAAAGTTTCCATAGATTTTTATTGTTAAGCTGTAATCTGTTGTCTTCCCAAAAAATTAAATTGTATTTGAAAAACACTTGCTTGAGAGGTCACTTTGTTCTCTACGGGATGTTTTCTCCTGATATTTTTTTCCTTGTGCTAGTATATTTTACCCTGAAATATTGACATTGTTGGTCTTACATGCTTTTATGTGAACCAAATTAAAAGTGATTCATGTATATTTTTTTTTCTCAAAATGGAAATACAAAATCCATGTTTTTTTGTAAAAATTCAACCTATACTAGAGTACATAAAATACAAAAATGAACATCATTCCAGAGATGTTAATAATATAATTCCTTGTTTAAAACAAGGAGAGGCAGCATTCGATCATAACTGTGCTGTTGTATATGCCTCACCCTGCCTAAGGATGGCCTGTGATGATTCATGGCCTTATGTTCTCTATTCCCTATTCAGGTTGGTGAGAATTGACTAGGTGGAGAAAAGGAATGTTTTGCCTTGGACTGGTTTAAAATTCTATGATCAAGTAACAGACGTGAGTGTTTAAATATAACAGGGTTGCTATTTTAAGTTTGTCCTTATGAAGTCTTTACCTCCGTGGTCTGGTTCTCAAACTTTTTCATGCTAATGATGATGTCCATCCAGCCTCTGATGTGTTGATTTATATTGGCCAAACTCATTTTAAAAAACAAAAACATCAAACCCCCCAAAGCTTCATATTTGTAGAGAGTTTAATAATTTCATAGTTGGGAGGGAAGGAGTGGCTATACTTGCCATGAAAACCACTGCCCAGACATCCCTGTATTGATATGGTGTGAAGGGTTCTCCTTGATCAGTATCTAGAGGTAGCATGCCAAACATCAAGGAAAGAGAATTAGAACGAAGAAGGGGGATTAATGACTGCAGTTTGTAGATGTGGCATGGGAGGACA